ATAGTATTGGCTGCCACAGTCATTTCTTTGAGTAGTTCTTCCAAATATCGCAGAGATCGGATCACTTGACCCTCATAAAATGTTTCTGTCAATTTCATAACTTCTTCAAATGATTTTCCCTAAAAAATGTGCATAAGAATAATTAATTAATTAATTAATTAATTATAAATATGTATATTTTTAAAAAGAGATTCACTAACCTGACACCAAGCATATACAGTATCCATCATATCTGGACAGAAATTATTGAGATACTCTTCCTCTGAGATTGGAAGCTTGCACTCAATAGATATAGCCGCAATGTTCCGGGCAATCTCTTGTAATCTCCTATATACAACATAAAGCTCTTCTCTCAAACGTCCCCCTCCCTTTTCTCTACGTTCACGCACGAAACAGCTCAGCAGAGCGGTCGTCTTTTCTACCGACAAATCGTTAAAGACACCATTCAAGAGCATTTCTGTAAGAACAAGTTCGTCGCCGGTACTTATTCTACAGGCAACTTGTCCCTTTATGGTAACAACATCATCATCCGTCAAATACCCAATTCGGCGTAGAACTCTCTTTCGATATTTGAGATCGTCAAGATGTAAGATAGATTGTGCGACGCTGATTTTTTTTTTCAATTTCTTTATTCTATTACGAAGTGAAACCTTCTTTGCATAACGTTCATATAATGCCGGAAGATGCGGAGTACCATGAAGTGGACTATATAATAACTTCTCTTCGAGAATTTCAATTTTCTAACGTATAAATTGCATATGAATTAAGACTTAGATGATGAATAAACGACAAAGAGAAACCTACTCTTATTAGCTTTTGAAAATTTTCGTCATTGATCCCCATGTCTTCTATAGGATCCAATGGTATTAAGCCATCAGGAAATCGTTTGATCACGCTCTGGATACTTTCGTAGACACTTTGCCTAACTTGGAGAATATTCAAGGTCTTTGGTGGAAATATGCGAATCGCACTTAAACTGCGGATGGTTGACAATTCGACAGGAACCACCTTCAGCATAAAATGTGACATAAGTAACTTTAAAAGGAAAGAGCAAAAACTATTTATTTAAAATAAATACCATCATTTCTCCGGGTTCATTTTCTTTGCAAGGTCGAACACCAGTGGTTATTCCATCAGCAGTCTTTGCCACAATAGAACTGGGATCACAATATAACAATACATCAACAAAATAATTCTCAGGTGACAATTCTTGCCTGCCTCGAATGTTCTTGTCGGTTTCTTTTTGTTCTATTGTTGATTGCTCCGAGTTAGAGCCATCGCTTTCTTCCGGGTTCTATAATAATTACCGAAGTAAAAGGGCATAAGCATAATAACATTATCAACAAAAAAATCAACTACCTTCTACGTGGATATTTTTACCTTCCTCTTTCCAAATGCAACAACCATACCCCATCCAAAGTCCATATTATCGTGTTTAACCCGAATCAATCTTCCTGGTTTGAGAAACGGAAGAACGTGCGACGGATGATTTATCACAGACCGCATCTCACGACAATACGCATTTAACAATTGACGACTGTCAAAATACTCTGCTACAATTTCTTCATCAGACACAATTAATGAATCATGAACTTTCTCTAGCCGACGTAACTCTGCATAATACATAGGAGGTTAATATTAATAGTTAAGAATTGCAGTATATTGGTCATGCGATTTACCTTCTTCAAGCCTTGGTAAGTGAGCGGTATTCTGAAATTGATAGAAGCTTTTTTTCAATAGAAGCTCGGGGCTCAAACCTTCAATCCTATTCATATTCAATATCATGCTATATTTAAGGTGAAAGGCTGAATACAAATTGTCCGATTCACCCTAGAATTTAAATGTTTGAATATGTCAACATGAACACAGAAAGCTATAAATAGAAAGATAACTGACCAATACGAAAATGCTTACAAATATCATCTTCTTTATTTCAGAAGATTCCATCTTTTGCCTAGCCATCAAAATAACAAGACCCAATGTATCAACACCCCTACGACCAGCGCGACCAGACATTTGAATATATTCGCCAGAAGTGATCTGTATTTCAAAAAATAGTTATCAATCATAAAATTTCTAATTTAATTTTATCATGATTTACGCACATATCTAAGAATTCTGCCATCAAATTTCTTCACATCTGAGAATACAACTGTGCGAGCTGGCATGTTGAGTCCCATTGAAAATGTCTCTGTGGCAAACAATACTTTGATCAAACCCTCCTGGAAAAGCAACTCAACAGTTTCTTTCATTATTGGCAACAACCCCGAATGATGGATTGCTATTCCACGCACCAAGAAAGGAAGCAAGAATCTAATCTGTGATAATTGGCGATCCTCAGCGTCTAACACGTCAATCGCATTATTGAAAACCCTTTGCACTAATTCTTTTTCATCATCTGAAATAAAACGTGAATAATGACTGAAGTGTAAAGTATGAAATACAAAACAAATAAATAACCCTTATTGTATTTTATTTTTTTTTTACCATTATTCAAGTCAATGTCTTTTAATTGACGAGCCAGATTTTCACACTCTTTCTTCCCAAAAGAAAATATAATCACAGGTTGATGATCGCTTTGTATTATCATAGATACCATTTTGACGATATCAGACGGCCCAGCTGGTGAAATACACGGGATCCATTAGGAAAAATAAGATTCATTAAAAGTTTGACGCACGTGCGAATAACAAAAGGCGTACATCTACGTCTATTATCAACCACCAATGACTTTTTACTGTATTCCACACTTGACTCTGGAATTAATAATTGGACTGCTGACAAAAAATTTTCATCTTTGAATACCCCCATTTCGTCGACAACCATAAAAATCCCATCACCCCCACAAGGATAGATATAGTGTTGTAGTGGTGTGGGACGGAAATCAGTGTAAACGACGTGACAAGGCTGTTATCAATGTAGTAAATTTAAATTAATTACAAACGATCAATCATCTTTAAGTTAAGACATCATCAATGTTAACCTGAGCGTGGATTTTGCAAATCCATTCCGCAAATTCCATAGCATTAGGAACCGTCGCGGATAGAAAGACAAACCGAATTTGAGAGGGTACTAATATAATGGCTTCTTCCCATACGACACCTCGTACTATTATTGCGAAAGGAATATATTTTATGATAGAATTAAATTAATAATAATCAGAAGAAACAAATCATACCTTTATCACGCATGTAATGAATTTCGTCAAATATAACCCATTGAACTTCACGAAAAATAATATCATTTCCGCGGTAAAGCATTGTAAGCAAAACCTAGGTATAATGAGAAAAGCTTTAATAATTTTCGAAAAATAATAATAATTTTTAGAATGCCAAATAAATAACCTCCGTTGTCATGACTAAGCAGCTAGCACTAGGATTAATGGTTATATCCCCTGTCATTAGTCCTACATCTCCAAAAGCAGACTCAAACTCTCTGTATTTCTGGTTACTCAATGCCTAAAAGTTCAAATACATTGGATCAGAATAATATTATTTGATATGATATTAAATTTGAAGATCATTAATTATTTACCTTTATCGGGCTTGTGTATATAACTTTCTGTTTGTCTCTTAGAGACTTGGCGATTGCATACTCTGCAATGGCTGTCTTACCCGCAGATGTATGGGCACTGACAAGAATCGACTCTGATCGTTCTATCGATGCGATCGCAACTTTTTGGAAAGGATCTAGCTCAAAAGGATATGTT